CTTGAAGGGGGTCATGTCCACAGCAACTACGGCATTTGGAGCCAGAAGCCCCGGAGTCTTCCAGAGCATCTGGAAGTAGTCGCACATCCCCTCCTGGATAGTCTGCATCGAAATTCACATTCGTTTTACAAAGGCGCTTCAAGACATCATAACGGTTCAATTATTGATATTTATTTATCTATTTATCTATCTAACTTATTTATAGAATCATTGCGACTCACAGTCTTCACTTTTTGAGGATGGCCTGATCTTGAGGATCATCATTCTTGTCTCTAGGTACCTTGCTACACACTATGGCCATCATTGAAAATTTAGAGAACATCCTTCTGGAGTGACCCCTGAATATTTTGTTTGATTTGCTTAGACAGCTTGGAGCATTGCCTTGGCTTTGGTCAAGGAACAACCAAAATATTAAAATACATTCCCTATAGATTCCTCTTTTATAGTGGATTTCCGATTGAGAAAATAACACATAAGCTTAAACAAACCCAAGATTCTGTCAACCTATGGCCCTTGCAATATACGCATGGTCACAATCTGCATGCGATGTACCCTTACAGGTGCAACATGCCCTCAAACTACATCATGTGATTGTTGGTTATTAGACAACATTTCAGCCTATAGAATATACCAACGATATGGTGCATTATATATCCCACTAATCCAGTACATACTCAGGATATCCACATGGTATGACTATTTTCCAGGGATTTCATCCAATTTTTCCGCTAAAATAGTGCCCAGATCATATCCCATATTGTCTCCTATAAAATCACCACATTCGAATGCTGATGACTTAAAATTTTGTATTGATTGGGTTCATGTTCAATCCCAAAGCTAGGATATAAATACATTTGGGTAAATTAGAATATTTATATATTTCACAAACCTGACTTAAGGCCATTTGGGGATGATTTCCCTTATTAACTATGATTCCAGTGGGGTCGCAGTGAGGTCGTTATAATTCACCCAGATACTTGGTTCCTATAATTTTCAGATATTCCCCAAAGATATAGAGATTTGCCACATCAGGGTTGCTCCCAGCACCTGAGACTGACGCAAGGGGGGAGCTTGGCAGAATTTTCCGAGGACGAATTTCCCCTTTGTGGCAATCATTTACCTACAATAGGTTGGAGCAACCCAGTAATATGGATCCAGAGCAAACCTCAAGATTTACCATGGTTTGGGTCAAAATTATGTACCACAACTTGGATAGTTTACCATGAAACATGAACAAGATCTGCGGTCCAAGGGGTGTGAATCTGTTTGACCCATACCCATATATATACCAATTAAATCACCATAACATGGTTAGTTAAATGATGTTAAATCTATATAAATCCATAATTTCTGATGGTTAAATTCCCTTTTTTGGTATCTATGCAAGGTGGAGCCCCCACATGATAGCTAAGTTGACGCAAATAACTTGGCTAAGTATGGTTTATAGTAGAGATAATTATAGTTAATGGAGTTTATAAACCAATTTATATCTGGGGAGCTCCACATTTAATGGTAGTTTAATGGAATATTACGTATAATGATGGCATATCAATGAACTTTTAAATGACATATAACTAGGGGGTCTCACCTTGTAGATATACTGTATATCCCAGCAGATTCCCATTAGATCCCCATGGGAAATCGCAATTTTTCATGGTGAAATCCACTTTTTTGAGGATTTTGACCCGTCGTTTTTTCTGTATAGTTTATAGGTTATAAACCAACTAATTAGCTTATATATATATAATTTTGAAAAAAGGTGTATATATATATATAGTTATATATATAGTTATATATATATAGTTATATATATATATATAGTTATATAAATATATATAGTTGTATATTTAAAGTTATATATATAAAGTTAAATATAAAGTTAAATACAAAGTTGTATATATAGTTGTATATTTATAGTTATATATATATAGTTATAAATATAAATATATAGATATATATTTATAGTTATATATATGTATATCCAATCATATTCCCATCATATTGCCATCATATTCCCACTTGGTGGCTCATCCCATTTACTAAGTAGATTGGTTCACCCTAGTTATTTCAGTGGATTAACCCTACAAACATCCCACTGAAAAAACAAGGGATATAACCTACTAGCTAAGTGTTTATAAAGCCCATTAACTATGGTTATTTATACCACAAACCATAGTTCATTCAGCCACTTATCCATATGGCTAGTTCGCCACCAAGCATGATACCCTCTGGTAATTTAACATAGCTATTGAAAATGGCCATTTATAGTGGATTTACCCATTGAAAATGGTGATTTTCCATGGTTATGTTAGTTTACCGGAGGGTAACCATCATTAACCACCATAATTAACCATTATTATCCATTCACCATCCATTCACCATCATAATTAATCATTTTTCTCCGTTCGCTGACCGCCTTGTCAGCATCGATGATGACCAAGTCAAAGGGCCGGGTTCCTTTGGCTGCACAAAGGCGCGTCAAAGAGTCCTGGGAGAACCGTGGCGCCACAGGCTGTGCGTGGCAGGACACAAAGTGGGCCTCTGGTAAACTAACCAGGCTGAACTGAAATGATGGGTTTTAATGGTAGTTAAATGGAATATTACGTATATTAGTGGAACATTAATGAACTATGAAATGGCTTAGCGATGGTTACCCTCTGGTAAACTAACCAGGCTATCGGCTATGAAAAATTGCCCATAGAAATAGTGGATTTAGCATGATTTGCCTATTTTAAATGGTAGATTTTCCATGGCGATGTTAGTTTACTGGAGGCTAAGTGGCTGAATTCGACTTGGTTCCTCATTCAGTTCGAGATTTCCCATCGTTCTTCCACATTTGATGATACCGGAGGGTTTGTTGTACTTGGTGGCGAACTACCCACGAATCCTAAGTAGGTGATATCCCTGGTTTTTTCAGTGGGATAAGTAGGGTTCATCCACCGAAATAACTAGGGTGAACTGACCGACTTAATAAGTGGGATGAGCGACCAAGTATGGCTTAACAAAATTCATGCACCTAAAAAAATGGTGAATCTTGGATGCCTGGCAAAAATCGAATATTTAGCTTGTGAATGTACCTTTTACCATTGATAGCAAGAGATTAAAGTACAAGTTCGTATCTAACCAAGGTTGACGCAGTTATTATCCTAGTTTCCAGTGGTGCTGGTTACCGTAGAATAAACTAATATGGATGTGGAAAATGGCCAATTTGTGGATAAATCATCTACTAAAAATTGTCAATCCGATAAGACCATGGGTTACTTGGAAGATCGCCCCATTTAGTAACTTGTTTGGAACTAGGGGTTGCAATCCAGTTGTAAATGGTACGGTATAACCATGTACAATTCACCAATCGGGGACTTACTAACCAGGCTTATTCACCACCAAGTGGGATGATCCTTGTAGTTTCAAGTGGTGCTGGTCATATACGTTTTTATTGTCGGCGGTTTCCACATTTCTTTGCGTATGTTATGAGCTTGGGTACGCCAAAACCGGATAGTTTATCATGAAATTCCCAATCAAACTGGAACTGCCATTTTGATAAATCCACATGAATCCACCATTTTGAACCCAAATCCCGACATTTGTTATTGTAGATATCCTCATGAGATCGTCACTCTTATACTCTTGTTGGTGACATCCACTATTCAATGGGTCATATTTATATCTGGCGGTTAAACCGATGGCGGTTTATCCCAAACATGATTGATATATCCAACAGATACAGTAGAAACGTGTTTCCAACGCGTTATAGACGATGTTTCCTCCATAGTTTCGAAACCGTCCATCCAAATTGTTGGGTTGCAATATCTTCAAAAATATCACCATTAAATCCATGACATCCCAATTATTTTTGGATTGTTGCTTTCCCTGGGATAAACATACAGAAACAATGTCAAATAAACAACCAGGATTTTGTTTTTTGCCTAGGGTCCGAAATAAACGAGATTCCCCAAAAAGAGTCCCCATAAACAGTATGTCTGCAGATATGGCACCCTTGAAATCGGTGCATCATCATCCCTATCAAATGGCCATTTAAGGAAAATTTTTGCCATATTTTCAGACCCAAGAATGCCACAGATCACCGGCTAAAACCACCCAGGACTTTGAAATCACGATGCTTCCCGATTTGCCAAGCTTAAATCACCCTTTTTCCCAATTCACCACCCTTAAATCACATTTTTTCAATTTTTCCAACATTTTTCATGGTTTAAGTACAATTTGCCCATATTTTTCCAAATCTTTTCCCATATGTTTCCAATTTCTAATGGTTTAAGGATCATTTTCCCACATATTCCATCATTTTTCATGGTCTAATTCCAATTTTCCAATTTTTTCACCATCTTTTCCATTATTTTCCGCATTTTTCATGGTTTAATTCCATGTTCCCACATTTTCCAACTTTTTCCTCGGGATTTTCGACCAGCTTCGATGGCCGGGCCCATCATGGTCTGCACCCTGCGAAGCCGCGGGCCCCCGAAACGGCGCCCAAAGTTCACCACGAAGGGGTCTAGCTCAAGGGAGATCAGCCTTGGAGATAACGGGGATCAGATGTTTTTATACAATCATATTCTGCAGTTATGGCCCTTTACCAGTTATAAGTACTTATAACCCCATTTATAGAGTGTATAATCCCATTTATAACCAGTTGTAACTCATAAACGGCCATAACTGTATTCTGGTTGGTGGTGCTATAACCATCTTGAAAAATGTGAGTTCGTCAATGGGGTTGGGATGACATCCCATATATTACATGGGAAATAAAATTCATGTTTGAAACCACCAGCCAGTATTTATTTTACTACTAGACGACGGATGGCCCAAGAGCGTAGAGGAGCAGGGTCTTCTGTTGTTAGTATTGAGACACTATATTACAAGACAATATATTACAGTAAAGATGTATTAGAGGCAGACGAGAAGAGTAGTATCAAGGAAAATTGCCCATTTATAGATGTGTGTTTTGATGATTTACCTACTTATGTAAATATATATATATATACCCAGATGCTCCGTGGCGCTGGAATATCTACCTGGTTGGTGGTGCAATAACCATCTTGAAAAATATGAGTTCGTCAATGGGGTTGGGATGATATCTATGGTTAATCTCAATTATTAATACATGATTAAGAGTAATCATCTATGGTTTTCATGATAATCATTGCCAATCTTAGATACCCTGCAAAAACTTAAATTCTTTGCTGGTTAGTAGATATTCCCATAAATACCAAAAAACTAAAGGATTGAAGTATCCATGTAAGATTGAGCTAGATAATCATATTCTGGCTGGTGGTGCAGTAACCATCTTGAAAAATATGAGTTCGATATCTTAAAAACCACGATATCCCATGAGTATACAGAAGTTATTCCCATATACCCTCTGGTTATTTAACATAGCCATGGAAAATGACACATTTATAGATGTGTGTTTTGATGATTTACCTATTTATGTATATATATATATATACCCAGATGCTCCGTGGCGCTGGAATATCTAGCTGGATGGTGGTGCAATAACCATCTTGAAAAATATGAGTTCGTCAAAGGGGTTGGGATGACATCCCAGAAAATAAAATTCATGTTTGAAACCACACCAGCCAGCATTTTTTTACTATAAGATTTTAAAAGATCTGGAGGTCACCAGAAAAGGTCACCAGGAAAGATTGGTGCTGGATTTTGGTGGATTTTCAGCCCCTAGTTATTTAACATAGCCATGGAAAATGACCCATTTATAGATGTGTGTTTTGATGATTTGCCTATTTATATATATATATATACCCAGGTGCTCCATGGTGCTGGAATATTTACCTACACGTGGGCAATTTTTGGGGTAAATGTAGGAAAATATTCCATACATGAAGCATCTGGGATAATATATATATATATGTAAATGTACAAATAAAGAAATAAATGTAGATAGATACGATAGATAAGGTAAATAAAAGGTTATTTATCATATTTCTATCATATTTCTATCTATTTATCTATCATTTATTTGATTTATAAAGGAAGATGAGATTAAATTAGATTAGATTGTATTTAAAGATGGATAGATGGAGAGAAAAGATAAGATAAGTTAAGTTATATAGTTAGATAGTTAGATAGATAGATAGGTAGACAGACAGATAGATAACTTTGTTGCACGTAAGGAGGTCTTTATAGCCAAGATAAATGTTCATCGTCTTCTTGTTTGCAAAGACAAACGATGTGCATCTTCTTTATCGAAGGAAGTTTAGAAGTCAAACTTCCGACAATATGCACAGATAGAAGCAGTGGTGAGAAGAGTTAGGGGAAGAGAAGAGCAGAAGAGAGAAGATCAGAGAAGAGAAAGAGTCAGAAGAAAGAAGATGCAGGTGCGCGAAAAGGTAGAAAAGTCGCGAAACACTTTGCGGCTCTGGAGGGTCGAAAAGTAGGCTCGCTAAAACGGCGGGTGCGGAAACATCTGGCCAAATAAGAGGTGAAAAGTTGCACGCCGTTGTGGCGCGAAGCACTTTTCCAAGTCAAAATGTACAAAGCACCTCATGTTCGGACCACTGTTGGAAGTTGCGATGTCGAAAAAGTGCACGCCGTTGTGGCGCGAAGCACATTCCGAAGTCAAAATGTACAAAACACCTCAGCGTCGGACCACTTTTGGAAGTTGCGATGTCGAAAAAGTGCACGCCGTTGTGGCGCGAAGCACATTTCGAAGTCAAAATGTACAAAACACACCACGTGCAAGCACATTGCGAAGTCAAAATGTACAAAGCACCGCAGCCTCGGAGCACTTTTGGAAGTTGAGATGTTGAAAAAGTGCACGCCGCTGTGGCGCGAAGCACATGTCGAAGTCAAAAATGGAAAAAAACTGAGGGGTTCGGAGTAAACTACACTACGCTCACTACACTACACTCCACGCCACTACACTACAACTACAACTACGACTACCACTACATTACACTACACTAATAATATTACACTATAGTACAGTCAAACTACGCTACACTAGACTACACTCAATTACACAACACTACACGACACTAACTACAACTGCAACTACATTACACTACACTACATAGCACTACTCTACACTACACTACACTACACTACACTACACTACACTAAGTACATTACACTACACTACGCCACACCACACTACACCACACCACACCACACCACACTACACTAACTACAACTACAGCTACAACTACAACTACGCTACTTTACACTACACTACACTAGACTACACTACACTACCCTACATTACATTACACTACACTCATTGCACCGCCGCAAATGCAACTGCAACTACACTACACTAATTACACTACATCACCATTACAACTCAACTACACCACAACTACAACTACAGCTGCACTACACCACACTAAATCCAGCACTTGTGGGTGAGGTGACCCCTGCAACCACTGCAACCATTCCAACAAAACATAACTCCAACCAGCTTTCGGTCCATCAGCGGATTCGCTCTGCCATCCGTGATTCACAACAACCAACCTCTCCTGTACGTTTCCTATTTTTGAAACTTCCGCCAACGCCTTGTGCGGTACTACTCGTATATATATATATATATATAACTATTTATCTTTATTTAGATTTACAGATAGATATATAGATGGATAGAAAGATAGATAGATAGATCGATAGATAGCTAGGTAGGTAGATAGATAGATAGACAGATCGGTCGATAGATAGATAGATAGAAAGATAGATAGATAGAAAGAAAGAAAGAAAGCTAGATAGATATATCTTTAGGGCTTTCCTGAAATGGGGCTTCTCCCACTTTAGGGATTTTCCATAAACCAATCCATTCATACTTGATTTATCTATCAACATCGTGATTTTTCATAGCTATGTTTGTGCACCAGAATGTAGTATGCACATATATCCCATCATTTTCCAGTATATTTTAGTGATATTCCCATTCAATCCTGGTCATGATTATCCCATTAAATCATCCATTATCCATTTTATCGTTATCACCATCAAATTATTCACAAAAAATAAGTCATATCGTCCATTTTTTAAAAGTATATACATATACCCCCATAATCACATCATCCATTATCCATTGCCAATCTTAGATATCCTGCCAAAAAAAACATTCTTAGCTGGTTAGTAGATATTCCTATTTATAGGAAAAGCTTCAAGGTTTAGTCCCTACCCACCCAGTTGGTTGACCTAGCACTATCCATGAATTATCCTATGAAATCATCCACTACGATTTGATAAACAATATTATATATATATGTGCATGCATTCCTATGATATTTCATTTATACCACCCAGATGTTTTCTTCTACATATATTTCAATCAAATAATTTATAGCACCGTCATATTGATATCATGGATCAAATGCTGGTGGCAACCAAGACACTCACCCTCACCTCCCAGGACTTCAGCAATAGCCAAGGAACCTCAATGTTGACGAAAGCCGACCCAAAAAGAAGGTCAAACATAGGGGCTCTAACTATGGGAAAATTATGGTTAATAATGATTAATCAAGGAAAATGGATGGTTTTCATGGTGGATTTATATGTATAGGGTTCTATCATGGTTGATGAGGGATAGTAGTGGCAAATGATGATTAAACATGCTTAATAGTAGTTCATAATGGATAATGTTGATTTGTCAATCATCGATGATGATTAGGACTGGTGAATAATGGTGAATACTATGGTTATTGTTAATCATTGTTATGCATGGTTTTTAATGGATATAAACATTGCTATTCATGGTTATAAATGGATATAACTATGGGATTTAAGTCTCCATGAGTTGGGTGGGGGCCCTACTGGTGATTCACGTAACCGACTTATTACCGGAACTGCATCCCATACATTGCCAATCTTAGATACCCTGCAAAAAATGACAATTCTTTGCTGGTGAACGTAGATATTCCCATTGATACCAAAAGACTAGTTAGGATTAGTTTGTATCCATGTAAGATTGAGCTAGTATATATATATATACATGCTAGCCACCCCAACAAAAACTACTTTTTGCCACCTTGTAGCCACTAGTAGTTTACACCAAGATTTTAGTAACTTTACAAATGAATTACCAGGATTTTTTTGGGTAAATCACCTCAACGAGTTTTTTTTCGGTTTTTACGTTTTTTGCCTCGGAGTTTTGTCTTGATCTTCGCGGATCGATGATCAAGATGCCGACTTGGAAAAACGGTCCATTCCAAGCATCGGAAAAGATGCTGAAATCCACTATCCTAATCCTGGGGATCCCTCAAGTCACCATAAGTCACCATACTGCTAGTCAATGGTTGATAGCTCTTGAAAATGGCAACTTTTTGTTGTGGATTTAGCCATGAAATGCACTATCTTCATGGGAGAAAAATATTATAGGAACATTTGGGATAAATCCATACAAATCATCTAATTTATATCTGGTGGTTGAGCCCTAGCCAATTTGAAAAATGATGGAGTGAAAGTCAGTTGGGATTATGAAATTCCCAATATATGAAAACATAAAATTCATGTTCCAAACCACCAACCAGTCAACATCTTTCAATCACAAACTTGAGCACCAACTTGGGATGTGAGTCAAGTCACCCTTTCATGGTTTACGGTCCAAGATCACATCGCTGCTTCCAAACGCCCATCTACAAAATAACATGTGGCCAAACTCCACATGTGTCACGATTGTTTATACCCGAGTGTTCATCTCTATCCCTGAACCGCCTGAAACAAAAAATCGACTTTCGAACACCCCACTTTTGAGAGTTTCATGGTTGAATTGAAAGTTTCATGGTTGAATCCACCAAAATAAACTTTAAACCCCAAAAAAGCATCTTTAAACCCCAGAAACAGCTCATATTTTTGATGGTTGAATCCTGAAACACCCGTTATGGTGCTCGCTGGCGAGATGCCAACCCCGCAGAAGCTCCCGATCTCCAAAACGCGCTTGGCCTGAAGTTTGGACTCCATCAATAAGAAAACATAGAAAAAACATGTGATTTAATGCCAATTTAATGAAATTTAGCAGGAGTCTAACATAGATTATATATATATATTCTGGGTAAATTATCATATTTCACTAACCTGAATTAAGGCCATTTGGAGATAATTTCCCTTATTAACCATAATTCCAGTGAGGGAAAACAGTGAGGTCGTTATAATTTACCCACACATATATATATATATTAGTAAACATGATTGTATGGGATTTGATGGTGAATACCCCAAAGGTAAACGTTGACATAGATGCGGAAAACCACTGGTTTCCCTACAAGAATTTTCAAAAGGCTGGTTTTCCATCGGTGTAAACGTTGAGGGTCACCAATGGGATTTTTTTTACAAACCTCTTCAGCGAATCCAGGAAACGATAAGATAAGACTTGAAGCAACAAGCATTTGGAGGTTTCCTAAAATGGGGGTACCCCCAAATCATCCATTTTGGATTTCCATTGTAAACCACCCATTTTGGGGTACCCCAATTTATGGAAACCGCCATTTAGTTATTTCGCAGGCAAACGTGCGGGGATTGCGGCAAAGATGTGGATTTAAACCGTAAACGTAAAAGGCATAACTATGGGGATAGATAAAAATTGGCCACTGAGTGAGACTATCCACATGGGGAGAAATCACCATTGTTGGCCGCTAGTGTCCCATGACTTAGGAAACCTCCACATGTTAGAATGATGACAAACAAGTGGTTGTCATAATAATCTTGATGATCGTAAGTCCCCAATCTCTAGGTTTACCCCATTACATAACAACACATGTAATATATATATATGTGCGTTCCATTATGAACCAATTTCAACCATTACTAACCATCATTCACCTATCATTCCATTAATATTTCATTATATTTCATTAACATCCCATCGGAGCAACTGCTTCTGCAGAAATCCTTTTTTTTATTCATATTTCATGAGCATTCCAAGATATTACCATAATACTGAAGATGGTCTCACATTATTATTGTTACATTAATAATCCTAGCGGATGGTGCTCCCCAGTGATGTGAATGTTGGTTTATAAATCCTATAGTTACCATAGTCACCATAAACCCTAGAGTTCAGCCACAGCAATATTATCCTTCGTTGGTGACAAGGCAGTCAGAATATGTCCGGAGCAAGCCGCCGGTTCTGTTGGAACCAGCATCTGGCCATTGCGGATTCTCTCTACCCTCTGGTAATTTGACATAGCTATTGAAAATGGCCATTTATAGTGAGTTTTCCCATTAAAAATTGTGATTTTCAATAGCTATGTTAGTTTACCAGAGGGTATCCCAACTATCCCAATCTTTGTCGTCTCTGGCCATTGCATGGGCCCGGCGAAGAGCAGGGTGTTCTTCTGTCACCCGAATGACGGAGGCAGCAAACTTTGCGCCACTGAGTCGTCTCTCCGAGGAGTCTCAACTGAACGCTATCTGACGGGGTCCCATCCTGTACGAACTAGTGATATGAAATTATAATACATTACTGTTTGGCAATAGTAACTATAGTTAATCACTAGTTAATCCATCCTGTATTGTTTAAGAATCCATGAATAATCCCTGAACATGATATGAAATTCAAAAACATTACTGTTTGGCATTAGAGTAAACTTATAACTTCCTTTGATTATGGTATCACATTACTATTGTTATTATTAATCCATGAATACTCCCCTGAAAATGGTACCCATCCATTATTAAAGTGATATAATCCCTGATATAACTATAGATTCTATAGATAACTACAGTATTCATGAGGTTTATAAACCAACAAACATCACTGAATACTCCCTTGAAAATGGTACCCGCTTCGACGAACTTCATATCTTCCGCGTGGCGTGGCGGGACTTCACGAGCCACTGCAGCAGCGCACTACGATCCTTACTGGCAGACCACCTCGCACGGCCGTTTGACAAGGTGGGCCCCAAGGGAACTGGGAAATGCCAGGGGAATTTCATGAAATTTCATAGGATTGGAGAAGAATTCCATGGGAATTTCGTGGGAATTCATAGGAATTTCATGAGATTTCTTGAGATTTCATAGAATTTCAATGAATTTCATGGGAATTCATGCGATTCCATAGGGAAATCCACGGGGTTTAACCAAGATTCTAAATCCATCTGCCTCGAATTCTTTTCTGCTCCAGCTAAAGTACTTCAACCCTTTCCCTTTGCTGAACTGAAATGATGGGTTTTAATGGTACAATGTGGGGCCCCCAAACGATAGCTAAGTTGGTGAACATAACTCCAATAACTATGGTTTATAATACTTATAACTATATAGTTAATGGGGTTTATAAACCAACTTATAACTGCGGGCTCCACATTTTATGGTAGTTTAATGGAATATTACGTATATTGATGGAATATTAATGAATTTTGAAATGGTTAATGATGCTTACCCTCTGGTAAACAAACCGTTTGCTATTGAAAATGGCCAATTTATAGTTGATTTACCTATTAAACATGGTAATTTTCCATGGTTTTTTGTATGTTTACCAGAGGGTAATGATGGTTTTCACAATGCTTTTTCACATGATGAACTCTCAACATCCAAAGATCTGAGCGCAGCGATTTCTTTGATCCCTTCGAATCAAAAATGCAAATATATCGACAAGGGGCTACAAAAATGCAAATATATCGCCACATTTGATAACACCGGATGGTATATAACCAACGACAACAACCAATCAAGAGAGACAGCTCTTAATAGCTCCATACAATGTGGGGCCCCCTAGTTAGCTAAGTTGGTGAACATAACTCAAATTTCTCTTGGGTTTATGGTAGATATACCGAACTACTTTAAGCGGGTTATAAACCAATTTATAACTGGGGGGCACCACCTTGTATAGTCAGCCTTGTACCAACGAACCAAACCAGATAAAGTGACTGAATTTTCTCGATTTGCGATGAATATTCAACTTTCCAAATCCCATTTAACGTGAATTATGTTTGCTATCCCAAGCCATTTGAAAAAATAGAATACTTTATAGTGGTGCCCCCCTAAATAAAGATTCTACATCCATCTGCCCTTCAAAATCAATTCAATTTCAGCTTAAAATCACCGTCGAGTCAAAGTGATATTCAAATTCAACTATAAAAAGTCAGCTCAAATTGGAGCTAATTCAGATTTGATTCAGCTTTAAATGCATTGCAACACCAAATGCAGTTGGAAATCCAATTCAGATTCAATTCAAGTTTAGTTCAATTTCTCTTCAAACTCCAATCCAATCAAACCAAGTGGAAGTCAACTTAGAATCAGTTCAAATTTAAGCGACATATCCATGTCCATTTCCAGACAACTCTCCATGACTACATTTGCGAAACATTCAGTCGTTTCTACTTGTTGGCCATTTCTTCCTTTGCTTGGCCTTTACCCAATAAACAAATGCGCTTCATGACCCAACATGTTCGAGGGGTTTATAAAATTTTATGTTCATCCAATGTCAATTGAGTAACCAGGGTTCAAAACCATTATGAGCGTCGCTAGGCTTGAACAAACATCGGTTCAACGACTCTGATTTTCCAAGGTGCAGTGAAGCAACTGCACCCCTGTTGGTTGATGAAAAAACTTCGGGAATTTGGTTGGGGAATCCCGTTCTCAAGCAACACTGCTTGGTGGTTGAGCCCTACCCCTCTGGAAAATATGAGTTCGTCAGTTGGGATGATGAAATTCCCAACTGAATGGAAAGTCATGAAACATGTTCCAGTCACCACCAACCAGTTACTATTAATTCACCATTATTAACCAATATTAACCATTAATAATCCCTATTTTATCCACCAGTATGAAGCTACGACGCAGGGTTTTGAACACTGCTGACAACGTGAGGGAATGAGTTCACCCGATGTGTTGCTAGAGGCGGACCGTATCTTTGAAGGCGGACCGCATCTCAGTGGTGAATAAGCTGTATATAACTCAGCCTTATCCTAGATATAAGATGATATTAAAGTGGTTTGTAACATGTGTTACCTTAACCTTTCTCAATCACCATTGTCCATTACTTACCCACTAAACATTATTAATCACTGTACATGATTAACACATCAAGATTATCCATTATTTCACCACTTAATCACCTGCAGATCAACCAGTGTTGTCCATCATTAACCACTACTAACCACTACTAACCACTATAAACCGTTATAGATGATTAACCATGATGAATGTTTATTAAGGGATAATAACCATTATCCATTATCAATTATTCTCAACCATTTAATCACATTTTTCAGTGACCAACATACAGTAGTGATTAATTAGGATCACCATGAATTGTCTAATTGTAGTGACTTAACATATAAAACATCACTTAATCACCATTAAAATCAATAAATCACTGACCAAATTATCTTACTAATCACTGAATCACCTATAAAATCCACATTGATCAACCGCCAAGTGACTCCGCGCGCATTTGGATCTTGGTGAGACCCTCCTCAAAGTTCATGGCCCAGTCCTGACCGTGCGGTAGGACAATACCAAAATGGGGGATCCACCCAATGAGAAACGGGAAAATCGTGAGTTACCCTCTGGTAAACTAACATAACTATTGAAAATGGTCATTTATAGTTGATTTACCCATTAAAAATGGTGATTTACCATAGTTACGGTAACTCAAAAAACAAACATAGAATTCACTGGTGAACACTGGTGCTCTGGTCAAAAAATTGATTGTAAACCCATACTTGGGGGTGCAGGTGGGGCGAAAAAAATAAGGATATAGCTAATTATGGGATTTTAACCTCCATAAGTTGGGATATACATAACCCGTACAACTTTATTATTTATCCACTTATATGTAGAACTGCACTTCCAAGTACTGATTTAACCAACAAAAACTGGCATTCACATGGGATTTATGATAGGTAAGTCGGTTTATAGCTAGGCTAACTTTTGTTTTTTTGTGAAGATATGGTTCGATGGGCTTAGGGGTTTACAAAGCCGCAGCACACAACTGGAGGGGCCCTCCTGTTTGTTGGAAAACCAACAAGCTTCGGTTTCCTGTTTGATGGGAAAAACACATCAAGTGCCTGGGAATTCTCATGCCTGGGATCTCCAAATGCGAAAAAAACACTTATCCGATGAATTGATTTGGTGGTCAAACACCTCTACAAACAAGGATAAAACCCCCAACAAACCACCAATCAACAGTTGGGGATCTTTAATGAGGCATCTTATATATATATATATGGGAGGGTTTACCCTAATTGTTGGTTATATATTCCATCGGATACACTATGATACCCCCATTACATAATGAACATCAATCAACATTAATCAACGGGAATCAATATTGATCAGTATAGGTCGGAGGGTAAATCCTTAACTATTCCATCAATATTCCATCAGGTCACCATTATACCATCGAATTTCCTTTTTTCATGGTTACAATAACAGTATATCTCCAATATATCCCCCATTCTACCATGGCCAATCTTAGATATCCTGCAAAAAAAATTGGTTACTAGACGTTCCTATTTATACCTTAAAAGGACTAAATTACCCATCCAAGGTTGACCTAGGATAGTACAAGTAAGGACCGTTTCAGCGACATCATCCAGGACCCACCGAAGAAATCCTCCTTTAGCACCGCACGGCGGAGCTCGTCCATGGCCTTCTGATCCTCTCAGCGGAATTTTGGTGTCGAGGTTCATGATTCCAATACATGGTGGATAAATGGTTTGTGAATGGTTTATTCATGGGATATATAGTGGTTAATCATGGTTGGTAATGGTTAGTACTTATAAATAAAAATGTATTACAGGATCACCCCACGGTTTGCAACTGGTTACTAACCCTAGTTGCAACCCACCTAGAAATGGGATAACCCACCAATCCGGGACCTACTAACCAGGCTTATTAGCCATTTGCTAAGTGCGATGACCCTCGAAAAAGATACCCTGCAACATGTCTATTTGGCTGGGTAGTCTGTACTGGGGTAAGCAGGCAATAGCCCAATATCCCCGGTATCCCGGTTATACACGGCTTTTATGCTTCTGCGCGGTTAAACACATAATTGGTTGTATACATACGACATCACGGGGTTATGGACACAACCTCCAGGGGTTGCCCACCAAACAAGAAACCGCAATGCCTTTCTCACGGGATTTCGGGCTTTGACGCACGCAACACCGCAAAGATATCAAAGGTTCTTCAACGATTTCAACACCTCAAATCCCGTTAAACGTTGTCATCTTCATCATCATCATCATCATTATCATCATCACCATCCTCATTCCCCAAACAGCGTGTCCACACTGAGGGGTTCTTACGGTTAAAGGCCAGGCTTAGATCAGGGTGCCCCCGGCATTTTTCCTGTAATTCTCACATTCATAAAGGTGCCCTTTTGTGATGTATGTGCATTTCGACTGTGCAGGATCGCACAAAGTCTGCGACGCGGGGTTCTCAAGGTCTTGGTCTGGGGCATTTTCATTGTACATTTCGCGTAAACGGGCTCTTGTGGAGATCCTGCTAAATTCCTCTTAAAGAGGTTCTTGCATGATCCTGTACAGGTCCTTAACAGAAGATCTTGTGGAGATCCTTGAGAGATCCTCTCTAAGATGTCCTTGCATGAAGATCTTGCAGATGCCATGTCTTAGAGGTGCTTCTCTGACAGCTCTTCTGGGAGGCTCTTGGGGGGTTCTTGTATCAAGATCTCGTAAGATCCGCTCCAGCAGCAGCAGGTCCTTTTATTGCGATCTTGTCAGCTTTTCTTAAGGGTCCTGGCATGAATGCTCAGTCGAGTATTGGACGCATTTTTTTGAAGCACGTACCAGCCTGCAGACATTAGATGCGCTTGTTTCTTCTCGTACGCTTTTCGCACCAGATCCACTGTTGGGATCAAAATCCTGTCAGTTTTAACCACAGATTTGCATTAAGTAGAATTGGTTGAAATATTTTCTATAGTATAGCACATTTTAGGGATTCTATCATTGAAAGACCCATGGAATTACTTATTTCCTATTCTCTTGATGCAATGTGGTTTAACCCGCAAACAAAATCAAGGAACTAGACTGGTGGCAATCTTCGCGTTTTGCGAGAGCCCGGTCTCTCAATTCAACCTAATCTTGTCTCGAAAAGGCCACAGGACTTTGTGATCCCTTTGATCTTGCGTCCTTTGATCTTCCTTCTGTTTTCGTCTTTCAAGGATATCTTCTCAAGCAAATCAACGTAAGTCAAATGGCCATTAACACATCTCTGGAGATCGCGACCGTCCCACTGTGGATGATCTGATGGGATCCCATGACCTATATTTCACTGTTGATCCCGGAGCATCGTGATGAGCTCAGCAAAGTCCTTGGGACACTTAAGAATCCTTGAAGAATCCTTGAAGAAACAATCCATGAAGCAGAGACTTAATCCAAGTTTCGCAAAGAATTTCCTCTGAAACCTATTCTTTCCGACCACTCAGTGAGCCCTCGACGCTCCATCACCACGGATTCAGGAAGAAGTGTCATCAGCAAAACGTTTTTGCATCAGGTTTTGCGCCAAAATGGGCTGCAGCGTCTTCTATTCATATCATTACAATCAAACATACAGAACATATATCAAGTGTTCCATCTACAGCATTGGAAAAGATTTGTATATATATATATATCACCTCTGGCACCAAAATTTCAAAAACATTATACCATTATTAAAAACTAATCATGCCTATTGAGGAAAGATGCGCACATACAAACCATTCTATGAATTCACCATAATTCACCCAACCTTCTGAATAGATATTTTTTGGAGGACACCTGGCTGTTGTGATATTGTAAGGGGATAGTAAAACCTTAAACTACTGACTACGTAAGAAATCATTGTCTCTGATATCTCGACGTCACTTCTCACTCACCACTCTGACCCCCCAGTCTCCTGATGTAGTGTGTCTTTCTTGTAGAACGCCATCTCTCCCCAATCCGACCAAGTGCAGAACACTTTTGCGCCGCCATGCAAAATCATCAACTTCTCAAGAGATGACCAATCCAGCAAAAGCTTCTCGAATTAAGATTGATCAAGATGACGAAAGAGTGGGAGTCCGGAACGTTCGAGAGCTGACACAAAATTTTGCAACTTTGTTCTTCGGCCCCTTGTCGAAATGACTGCCCCTGGGATGTCGTCGATTCTTCTTTGCCGGTGTTTTGCTGTGTACCAATGCAATCATATCTCGAAGCTCAGTCGTCTCATCGAAGTCATCTCCTGGAAGGGGCGCATTCCCCCCAGACAGCCTGCTAGCAAGCCACTCCGTGTCAGACTGTAGAGACTCATTCGCCGAAGCCAAATTAGAATCATCCCCAAGCACTCCTCAATCGTATTCTCCTGGAAGAAAGGCAAGCACCATTCACAAAAGAAGATGGAGGCTGCAAGAGGATGCGACAAGAAGGGAACCAACTCATCCTGTGGTATCAGGGGGGACACTACTCTGGCAGGATCTACCTCCGTGTCATTAAGAACGAAACGAGCTTTGCCCATGCGACAGCAGACGACACGCCTTTTCAACTGCTCGCACGCCTTCAGTCGATCTCTGCCTTCTTCTATCACTGGGATGTTCTCATAGTTCATTTCTTGAATTTTCATGGATGACCCGAATCTGCGCTTCGTAGTGAATCCATAGTTGACTCTGCAATCTACTTCTTCATCTACAACAAAGCATTTCCAAAGGTCAGCAATAAACCTTGCATGTTGGTCCATCTCCTGAATCCGGACATTTGCCTTATTCCAGGCGAACTCTGCTGACTTCCGAAATTCTTGTCGATCAAGAAAATCGCCCCAGTCCAGGGTCGCAGACTCATCCTCACCCAGCATTGCTTTTTCAAGGTAGGCTTCCATGCCCTTTCCGTCACCTCCCTTGCCGACTGCCGACCTCAAACATCATCTTCCCAGTGCATGCTTTTTTGAAGGCTGCATGTAGGAAGCAAAGCTTGAGCTGGAAGACTGCTTCATTGTCAAAGTAGAGAGATTCAAGAAATAGTCGAAGTCGGCTTCGGTGCTCTTCAATGTTGAGATCAGGACGATTTTCAAGCAGGGATTCTGTGCATAATGGGCATGGGTAATTATCCAGCACGCATATAGCAGTCGCTCTCAGGACGTGGATCTGTTTCTTCCCAATTGGCATTGAGATAGACATCTCGAAAGCAAACTCCTTGGGACCTCGGAAGAGGAGAATCCCACTCGACCAAGAATAATTTGCTCAGATTTTGTACCCGGGAGGAATCCCATTGCGTTCTGAAGTTGGCCAACATGTCTGAAACACGGCGCATCCACCCAGCTTTCCAGCTCTTGTTTCCAGTGACTTGGCGTAGATGGTTGCTACTTTCCTTTGCTTCGTTGCCGAAGACCGAAGAAGCTGTGTGCGTAATGAGCATGTTCAAATAGCGTGGCAACAGCTTTTTGCTGGATGGAGCTCCATGACCACTTGGGTCACCTTCGTGATCTTCGAAATGTTTGGCCAATGTCAGGAATAGACCTTCGACCACGAGGAAGATGTCGCAGGCTTCAATTTGCAATGACGGCACCATTCCACAAGCACCTGCATATTGTACTTGAAGATTTGTTTGTTGTGTGCTCGCCAGTGCTCACCATCAATCCGCATGATCAAAAGCAGTTTCTGCTTGTGAGACATCATGTAGTTTGCGGCATTCATGGATGAGAGGAACTTGCTGACTTCCAACAGTGTGCGTAGAAGAGGATCTGCATGCGGGAAGGATGCAAAGCTCCACGTTTTGTATGTCTTCCACTGCTGGAGCACCTTGCCTGCCTCATCCACTGCTGTCTCCGCGGGGCATGGGCGAATGGATTCGGAACGAATGCCCTCTTGCGCATCAGAAAATGCTTGGAACCTTAGTGCTTCCCAATGTCGAGAACATGAACAAGGCCTGTTTGAGGGCATCACATGTAAATGGAATGCGCATGTATTTTTATTCTCTCCCCACTATTTTACTATGTACTGACAGAGTTGGATGAAGCGCAAAATCTTTGACCAGAAACAGATTGCGGCCACGAAGATTCTTGCATGGCGGAGGTTGGACATTGCCGTACTCCTTGTCCATAAGCTCTTCGAGGTCTTTCTCCAAAGTAGACGTCTCCCAGGATGAAGCCATCAGGGTGTGTCAATCGAATTGAACGCAGAAGTGCGGAAGCGAAAGCTGTGTGATAATCAGAAGCGGCTGCAAGTGCAAGCAGAAGGTTGGATTGTGGCATCCGTAGTCGATTTTTTCTGGGACAGCAGAATGACAGGCAACATGGTAATCAATTTCTCCTTTGCCCTCGAGAAAATGTACAACATGCATACATATATATCATTGCATGAAACTCTTCGAAGCAAAGACATGACAGAAGACAGCTGAAGCTTCAATGAATTATGCCGCTGCTACAGCTCCTTGAGCAGTCGCTCCGCGAACCAATGATGTCGATTGGCCTGCAAACAAAAACATCTGTCGGTCGGGCCAGACATTTTGACTGGATCAACCGGGATTGAGATTCATCAATGTTTTTTCCTACAGAAACTGATCTGATTTTTCGGTCCGATGAGATGATCCGATCATAAGGTACAGCAAGATATATTTCATTGAAGTTGAAAATTTAAAATCTCTGGCTTCACCGTCCCGGCCCGCCAAAGATGCCGATCCGTCCGACCGGTACCGTAGTGCCGTAGTGCCATCTGTGCGGCCGGTACCGTGGTGCCGGTCCGGATTGAAAGCTGGTTTCCTTGGGTCTGAAAGGGGGGGGTGCAAAAAATAAAAATTACTTTACTTCGTGTGATCCCCACCATGACCTTTATACATTTTGTTACTGGCAAATCTTCTGGCATTCTATCTGACATATTTTCTGGCATTCGATCTGGCATTCTATCTGGCATATCTTCTGGCATTCTACCTGGCATATCTTCTGGCAGATGTTCTGGCATATCTTCTGGCATATCGTCTGGCATATGTTCTGGCATATCTTCTGGCATTCCATCTGGCATTCTATCTGGCATATCTTCTGGCAAATCTTCTGGCATTCCATCTGGCATTCTATCTAGCATATCTTCTGGCATATTATCTGGCAAATCTGCTGGCATTCTATCTGGCAAACATTCTGGCACTTTATCTGGCAAATCTGCTGGCATTCTATCTGGCAAACATTCTGGCACTTTATCTGGCATATCTTCTGGCATTCTAGCTGACATTCTATCTGGCATTCTATCTGGCATACCTTCGGGCATTCTATCTGGCATATCTTCTAACATTCTATCTGGCATATCTTCTGGCACTCTATGTGGCATATCTTTTGGCGTGGATACTCGCGGTTGAGGTCCGGCAGGGAACACTTGGCATGGATACTCGCGGTTGAGGTCCGGCAGGGAACACTGGGCGGGGATACCCGCGGTTGAGGTCCGGCAGGGAACACTGGGCGGGGATACCCGCGGTTGAGGTCCGGCAGGGAACACTGGCGGTGATGGTCGTGGTTGAGGTCCGGCAGGGAACACTGGGCGTGGATGGTCGTGGTTGAGGTCCGACAGAGACCACTGTGCGTCGAGGGTCGCGGTTGAGCAGGAGGAGGAGGAGAGGAGAGGAGGAGAGGAGACGAGGAGAGGAGAAGAGAGGAGGAGAGGAGGAGAGGAGGAGGAGAGGAGGAGCAGGCAACTGACATAAAATCTAACAACCCTCACCTGGCAGGTGGGGAAAAAAAAATGCCCCCTCCCCTTCAGGGAGGTCTAGAATCTAGAAGGTAAAAACCAGAGCTTTAGGGTTTCCAGGGGTCTCGAGGAGGAAGCAAGACAGAGAAAAAAAACTGAACAGAAAGCTTAGTAGCAATATATTAATCCAAAACATGACCCATATCTGTCCATTCCTCTTTCCAGCTCTCCACAACGTCCCTTTCTGAAATATAAACAAGATTTAAATAACATTGTTCTATCATATTATGATGTGAGATATTGCAAGACGTGCAAAACAATCCACACAAATGCCTCATCTTACGTTTTGCTGTATTTCCAGAAACGAGGTAAAATGGGGCCCCTGTGGCGTGACTTTCTGCACTGTTTGGGGTCTCTTGCCGGTGTAATTGTCTTTTGTCTAACAAAAAACAAAGTAGGTATATAGCCGCTAGCCATCATCGACCGTTATCAAACATTATGAACCAGTGTTAGCCCATTATTATCCCATGATTTTTCTCCCCTTATCAACCATTCCATGGTGAATCTTGGCTACCTGCCAGAAAAATCTACTCATGTTAGCTGGTTAGTACATTTTACCATAGCACAAAAATAAGGTGTACTAGTATCTGGCCAGTCGGTCGACTCAGTATAGATTTCCCTAGCTATCATTAATCCATGCGTATTCAATTCATATACCCTCGAGTAATTTAACATAGCTATTGAAAATACCCCATTGATAGTTGATTTACCCATCAAACATGGTGATTTTCAATAGTTATGTTTGTTTACCAGAGGGTGCCATTACCCCATGATTATCTCATGCTTATCCCATGATTATCCCCTGATATCCTATAGGTTCCTAGAGATTTCCCTATAGATTTCTCGATGAACAGAGGATTTTCCTGGATTTTCCTGGCCTCTGAAGCCTCGGGAGGAGCCCATGTGGGAGATGCCTCGGTGATGTTTGCAGTCGACCGTGGTCCTTATATAACAGTTTTTTTTTTTTTTTATTGGCTTATAATGATAATATGTATATATATATATATACATACTTAGTCGTAAGAGTTATAAATAAATAAATATATATATATAGAGATACATGGAGGTTTTCTAAAATGGGGGTGCCCCCAGATCATCCATTTGGATTTGGATTTTCCAGTATAAACCGTCCATTTTGGGATACCCCCATTTTAGGAAACCTCCGTATATATATATATATAGATATATTACCTTAGTTGTAGGACTACATATATAACCTTAGTTGTGGGAGTTATAACTTTGGGGATCAGCCCAGATTAAAGGAACACCACCCAATTCCGCAATTCCAATGGATTATGATCATTTTGAGGCGGACATGGCCATAATGTGTACCCTGCAAAAACAATGAACCATTGAGCCAAGTGACAAATAACCCTGCTTTCCAGCAGTCCGCGAAGTTGGAATTCATGAACCAACATGCATAATCTATTGCCACTCTTCGATTCCCTGCAAACAATGGCACATTGTTAGCTGGTAGAACAGAATCCCATGCCCTATTGGCGGGATAACTGTAAAAACTCCATCAAGAAACTGTACAAAGACACCAATCTGGGTAAATTATAATATTTCACCAACCTGAATTAAAGCCATTTGGGGATAATTTCCCTTATTAATCATATTTCCAGTGAGGTCGCAGTGAGGTCGTTATAATTTACCTAGACCAATGTACCCCGATTCAGTAGATGTTTCAAGCTTCTACTTTTCTCAACGCGGATTTTCACTGGCATGGGTTGATTGCCAGAAGGTACAAAGGACAATCCGCTTGTAGAAGAAATTTGCTGTTTGATCAATTCTGCGTATATTATCCCAAATGATAGGTATTACCTCAAGATAGGTATACTAATCAAGCTTCGGCCGGGAAGTGCGGGCCCGGTAGCGCTTGTACCCCATATTTCAAGGTAGTTGGAGAGTACCTCTAGGTGTATGAAGGAGTATATCATGAAAACGAAAGAAGCTAATTACCTAGACTTCGTACCTAGGTACTATTATATTACCATTATAGTCATTATATTCCCATGATATTACTGGTTGGTGGCTTCAATCCCTCTGAAAAAATGAGTCAGTTGGGATGATGGCATTCCCAATATGATGGGAAAACTTACCAACATGTTCCAGTCACCACCTACCAGTTTAATACATAATCTATATATTAAATATATATATATTATCCAATTTTCCTAGGTACTTGATGGTACTTGGAGGGTCGTTGCGGTAGTTCTTAGCTTCCCATTCAACACCACCACCGCAACGAGGGACCGCGACGGAGTAGACGTTGGGAAAGGTCTGCATGGCATGAGCGCCGCTGGCCAGGCCGGTGAAACGGGCCTGGTTGGCCAAGCGCTAAATTCGGGGTGAATTTACCATGAAACATGGGGAAAACCAGGGTGATTTAACGTTATCTAATGTTAACCCCGGATTTGGCTAAACCATGGTTTATGAATTGTGGGGGTACCCTCCAAATAATCACAATATGATACTTAAATGGTATCCTCCCAATTTAACAACCTAGGGCTTTGTTAATCCAGGGTTGACATGAACCATGTAACCATGGTGATTGATATGAGGTTTATATGTGATTTTATGATACTTAAAGTTCACAAATCGTCAACTGTTTCTTGTGTATTGGGGATATAACAAACTAGCTATAAACATCTTTTAACAAACTTACAACTGGGTGGCAGCGCCTTGTATGTGGGCCACAGGCAAGATGATGATGTTGGATTCTCATCAGGTTGGTTCTCAACAAAAACTATAGTGCAAATCGGGTGCAATTAATTGCTGGTTGGTGGTATAGTTTCAACCCGTCTGAAAAATATGAGTTCGTCAGTTGGGGTTACTATTCCCAATCTATCGAAACATAAAAGTCACGTTCCAAACCACCAACCTGATTATACTTAATCTATATATATATTATTCAATTTTCCCATATATTATGGAAAAATACAAAATGTTCCAAACCACCAACCAGATTAGATAGATAACCAACAAAATGAGATGGATGCTGATCCAATGGTGTGTTCCCCCAAAATGGCATCAAATGGCCATCGAAAAAAGGACTATGATGATCATCCAATGGATTTAGGGCTGTCGAAAATTGGGAAACCGACATCTGTGGTCCCATATCCAGTGGGGCCCCAAAATTGAACGCAGCTATTCGGCTCTTCGGGGCAACCAGTTCGAACCCTTGCTGATCCCCTTGCTGCTCCATGGGGCTGTAATGCCAACATTTACCCCCTAAGTGACCCAAATGTAGGTAACTATTCCAGCACCATGGAGCATATGGGGATGGATGTATATTTTAATCAGCCCTCCATGGTGGGCCCAGCTACCACAGAGCCTTTAAGAGAATTTGCCAAGTTGACCGGAAACTCAACTTTTTTCCAACATCAAATCAACTATACAAACTATACTATAATTCCATAGAAATCCCAGAAAAAAATCCATACAGGATGGGGCCCCCGAAGCAAATAGCGAGCCAAATTGAGACATGGCCGTGGCTGAATTCTATGATTTATGGTATATACCTTGGCTCTAGCCTATTGGCTCTAGCCTTTTGGGGGGTCCCTATGTGGAAATCCTTTTTTTGACTGTTACAGGTAGAATCGGATAGACTCAATATATACCATAGTATTCATGGGGGCCAAATGTTCACCAACTGTCACATTACTGGCGCCATCCTGCAGGGACCACATCGTGCCACTGAGCCACAGTGCGTGCCATGGGAAGTATGGAAGGACAATGGAGGGATGGGTTCCGGGAAGAGCTCGAGAAAACGCTACAGAGATGCCACTGAGATTCGTGCTAGAATTCCACTGGAATCAGCCATGGCAAATTGATCAGGCAGCATGGATCTAATCGCTATGGATTGGTTATAGGAAAATCAGACATATCGAGCAAAACCATTTGCATGGGATTGAACTTAGCTTTCAAACGGCTTGGAAAATGTGACAATGTGGGACCCCCAAACGATGGTAGCTAAGTTGGTAACATAACTCCAATAACAACCAATAACTATGGTGTTTATAACTATACGTAGTATTCATGGGGTTTATAAATCAATGTTCACATCACTGGGGGCACATTGCAATGCTGCGCATCATTCAAGAAAAACGCGGCTGTTGCATCAAAAAACGGATACTTTTTTCAAGTAACGTCCAAGATTCCTGACTTTTCTTGAGGCCCCCTCACCCCGAAACTATCCCTGAAACTATCCCTGATGGATTCCTAAGTCCTGTTTTCTTCCCCCATAAAGGAACATCACAAATCACCGACCAAACAAATCCATAGAATTTGCATTTTTCCAATTAATACCATCACACAAAACCATAGAATTTGGTAAACAAAATACAAGTTTTCCCCATTTTAATGTGGATTTTAGCCCATCTTCCTATGTTTTAAGGGTGCCAACTTGGTCCAATCTCCAGAAAGTGGAGACCTGAAAAATGCCAAAGCTTGGGACATTTCTTGGGAATGCCTTGTGATGGATGATTTCATGGGATATTTACCATCTGGTTATGACTAACATAGCGATGGTATAGATGGCCCATTTATAGATTGTTTACCTATTGAAAATGGTGATGTTCAATAGTTATGTTTGTTTACCAGAGGGTACCATTACCCCATGATTATCCCATAGCTATTGAAAATGGCCATAGAAATAGTGAGTTGTCCCATTAAAAAAGTGATTTTCCATGGCTTGGGAATATCATGGGAATCCATGGGAATTTCGCTGGTTGATGGTTGAGCCCAAGCCCTAGCCCTCTGAAAAATCATGGAGTGAAAGTCAGTTAGTACATTCTCAGGAAGTGTTTGGATCCAGAGTGTTTTACTCACGGCTTACCACAGTATTCTGAGTTAACTACCACAACATCTTTATCTGGTTGGTGGTATACCTACCCCTTTTGAAAAAATATGAAAGTCAGTTGGAATGATGACATTCCCAATTAATATGGAAAGTCATAAAACTCCATGGCTCCAAACCACCAATCAGATGGGAATATTCATGGGAATGTAATGGGACTATCATTTCATAGGAATATTTACTGGGATATGATGGGATACAAGTGGTTATTATCCTCTGGGTAGTTGCTGCAATGTTTAACAGATCATGGTGAATCTTAGATAGCTGTCAAACAATCTATGTTTTAGCTGGTAAATGTCCATGTTACTACTCATAGCAAAAAATAAAAATAAAGTATCTAACCAAGGTTGACCCATGTAATGGGATATATGATGGGATATAAGTGGATATTACCCTCTAGGCGGTTTAACACTGTAAAACAGTTTGCTATGGAAATTTAGGTCGTTTAGTTCGATACTTTACCATACTTTACCTATGAATTCAAAGGGACTTTCCATAGCCATTATTGCTACGTTAAATTCACCGAGAGGACTTATTTTTCAGCGGCGATACATGATGGCTACCACCACAATGGGAATTCATAATTACTGGTTGGTGGTTTCAACCCCTCTGAAAAATATTAGTCAATGGGAAGGATTATCCGATATATTATGGAAAATAAAAAATGTTTGAAACCACCAACCAGCCAGATAGTTATACTGGGGAATTTAGACACCATTAGACACCATTATTCCAAGCGATTCACCCCCATTTGTTCTTGAGTTTGGGGCACCCCAAACTGAACCTTCAATGTGGGGCCCCGGTTTTCGATAGCTAAGTTGGTTTATGGTACGCAAATAGCTATAGTATTCATGGGGTTTATAAACGAACTAAAATTGTATCATCAACCATTGTTATCATAGTATGGTTATAACCAATGAACCTTTTCTACTTATAACCGATTAACTATAGTGAAAAAGTGATTATACCCTCTGGTTATTTACCATAGTCATGGAAAATCACCATTTTTAATAGGTAAACCATCTATAAATGGGCCATCTATACCATGGCTATGTTAGTCATAACCAGGTGGTAACTGGTGGGCCCAGTCAGCGACCCTACCACCCAGTCTTCACTGGACCTCTCAGGAAAGTCTGAGGAGACCCCACGCTTGGGCACAGCACATTCGCCAGCATCAATGGCCTCACATCGTCGATCGATGCCGCTTGGCCGGCTTGGCCCTCCGTTGTGTCATCAATCGTCGATTTCTTGGGGGAATATCACTAGGGAATATGAAGGGATATATCATATAATTGCTATAAATTTGATATATTTATATTTGTCAATGGATTTTAATGACATTTAAGCAAACATGAATGTTAATCCAACCATGAATGGGGATTTATTGGGAATTCCATGATGAAAACGGGGATATTCCATGGGAATACAATGGCAGAAATATCACCATCAAACATGGCGGGCATGCTGAACTACCGGAGTTTAATGTCTGTATCAAACCCTATGGATCCAAGTGCCTTCTTAGGAACTGTTTGGGGTATAATTTACTATAATTTGGAGGCTTAAGTACTTTCTCAGACAGTGTTTGGATCCATAGGGAAACATTGGTGATATCTATACCACTCGTTTGCAATATTGTATTAGTATTGGAACACGGCAGGCGGCAAGCCTAGCTTGCCTTGTGCAATTAGCAATGATATGCAATGATACGCATCTGAAAAAAGAAAACGCGTCACACAATTATGCTAGTTTTCTTCAGAGTCACGGCTCAGCCGCTCATGAAAAACATGTGTCTCTTCGCCTTTTTGGTGTCTGTGTATCAAGGTTTTGTCTGCAAAGTTGGCCCCTGATGTTTGTTGCACAAAATAAGCCCCATACTATATCTGCCTCAAACCAAAGTTAACCTAGTAACTAGCTATTTGCATCAACTTAGCTAGCTTCAATCACATCATAAATCCCTATGAATCCCTACCTCGTAGAGGTCTGAAATACTCGTTGGTGTCAATTCCCTTTGGGGAATCATCCCCCAAACGACTCAGGTAGAACTCCCTACAATTACTCTCTGGTAATGACTGTCACATAACTACACATAGCTATTGAAAATGGCCATAGAAATAGTCCAGAAATAGTGAGTTTTCCCGTTAAAAAAATGGTGATTTTCCATAGTGATGTAAACGTTTACCGGAGGGTACGAGTACGAACTAACAATAGTTCATCGAACGGTGTACCCTTCGTATTTTTTTCGGATCCCGCGAGCATGACTGCAAAATCCCAGAACTGAATGGAGGTTTTAAGATGATTGCCATGTCTGTAAAGGATTTCCCATTGCCATGGAATATGTTTGATGACCCGCGGGTAGATGGGCATTTCGCAAACTTGTCTTCACCTATACCTGGACAAAAAAAAGATACATCATCTCCCCCCAGCACTACCAGATTGCTGAGCCTTTTCTTCCAGCCAATGCTGACTCAAACGGTTGCCATCTCCCCTCACTAACTGCTCGCCCATATCATTTTTGAGGGCTTCGAAGCTGAGGTTCCACTGAAGATTGATATTTTTAAATATTTTCAGGGTCTATGATGGTCTATGATGGTCTATGATGGTCTATGATGGTCTATGATGGTCTATGTTCATTTACTTGAGGCTACATCTTGAGATCACAATTTGTCCCTGGTTGGTGGCTGAGCCCTACCCCTCTGAAAAATGATGGAGTGAAAGTCAGTTAGGATGATGACATTCCCAATATATGGAAAGTCATAAAAGTCATGTTCCAAACCACCAACCAGTTCCTGTCACTTTGATTCATGGCGTGTCCACGGAACGGCGCTTTCTTCTAAGACGGGGTAGCCGCGTAGCCCAGGCGACGCTGTAGATCCTGACATCTTTGGCGGTTAAAACACGGCAATTCTTTTTGTTGTTCATAGTGATTAATCATGGTTAATATGATGCTGAATAATGGTTAAATATTGCTAATCATTTAGTTTAAAATACTAGTCTCATATCAAAAATATCCAATATTAATGGATCATAATATGGCTAAATCTGGATGTTTTTCATAGTGCTGTTTATGTTGGACAAGAGTCTCATCATGTGGTTAGTGATCAAACATGGTGAATCAATTAATCATGCTGAATAATGACAATAGTGATTATAGTCTCATAACAGTGATTGATAGTCTCATTGTTAATGATTATAGTATAATATCAGTGAATAATAGTGATTATACATACTGAAAAATGATACTGCAATAGTCTCATAGTGTCTCAGTTTAATACATGATACATAGTGATTATACATATGGTGTCTCATTATACATAATTGTGATTAATACATGATACATAATAGTGATTAATAGTCCCATGTATTAAACATCCCGTTTTTTTCTAAATAGTTCTTGCCAGTCCATGCGGTTTCATCCCCTAAATCCACCTGGATGTTGAGGCTAATCCCTACAAGGTGGTGCCCCCAAACGTGATGTGAACGTTGGTTTATAAACCACATGAATACTATAGTTATAAGTATCACACAACATAGTTATTGGAGTTATGTTCATCAACTTAGCTAACTATCGGGCACCATCTTGTATAACTATGGCTATATTTCCTCTGAAACTGCACCCCCGAGTACACTTTCCTGTCATGACTGGTCAAACATGGACAAACTTGCAAACAAAAACATATACATAAAAACTACAATGCGGGGCCCCCAAACGATAGCTAAGTTGGTTCATAACTCCAATAACTATGGTTAATGATACTTATAACTATAGTTCATGGGGTATATAGACCAACTTAATTATAACTGGGGAGCCCCGCATTGTACCAAACACCTCCTATTCACTGGCAAGACTCCTGGTACCTCGCGAAGAGTGCAGGGTTCAAGGATTTATGCAAAGCTGAATGCGCGGCTTTCTTGCAGACAGGGTCGCTGCTGTGCTCGACACTTGGAAAGGTAGAGTTAATGTATACACTCGTAGTTTCTGGATTCCGATTGCATCGTACACCTTGGCTTTTTCAGCAATCAGAAAGCGTTCCTGCTTTGAGATCAGATCCGTCCCGGTACCAAAGAAATGATTCAGCAAACCTCAGTGTCAGTGCGCAGGTTATGCCGTGTTTCTTTTGCTTGTTGGATGTCATGCTAGGCGGCACTCCTCTATACTTGGCTTTTATAAAAAACAAAAGAGTAGCGAGGACCAGGCCAGGGGCTTAAAAAAACGCTGATGCAAACAAGAGCTAAAAGAACAAGAGCAAGGGCAGAAACAACAACAACAACAACAACAACAGCAACAGCAACAACAACAACAACAGCAACATAAACATAAACAGCATTAGCAGCAACAATAACAAGAACAACACGAACAATAAGAGCAAGAAAAAACACAAAGAACAATCATATAAATAACGTATTAACTTGAAGAACAATATTAATGAACAGTAAGAATAGAGACCAACAACAGGAAAAAACAGAAACAAAACAACAATAACCAGAATCAATCATAATAATACACACAACAAAACAATAATAAAAACAATAATAAAGAAAACAAGGTTGGAAGACATACCCAAACCAATTCTACCGCTTTGACACAAGACAAACGGGAAACAAACACAAAATAAAATTGATACAAGGTGGTGCCCCCCAGTTATAAGTTGGTTTATAAACCACATACTATAGTTATTTGCGTATCATACACGATAGTTCTTGGAGTTATGTTCATCAACTTAGCTAACTATCGGGCATAAACCAACGTTCACATCACTGGGGGGCACCACCAACCGTATGTTTCAATTTCCTCAAACAACTTGAGAACCATGGATGAATGCGGAGCTGAAATGATTTCTATTCGCTTCTTCAAAAAGGACTTGCTCAAACCACAGGGGCGAACATTTATTACTAGTGGTTGGTGGCTCCAACACCCTGAAATAAAAACTATACATGAATTACTGGTTTGTGGTTTCAACCCCTCTGAAACATATTAGTTAATGGGAAGGATTATCCCATATATTATGGAAAAATTAAAAATGTTCCAAACCACCAACCAGATCTGAAAGTGAAATGAAGACCGCACACCTCCGGATTTGGAACATGTTGGAACCATAATGCGATCTTTTTTTGCAACTCATTAACTGCATTTACCTCCTCCACCTCCTTTTTGCCAATGGGCAGAACATCTTTCCTTTGTCCCCTTTTGTGTGGTAGACCGGCAAGCCCAATAAAAACCATTTCCAATATCACCAGAAATCAATGGTATAAACCCTTCACTGTTTATTCATGGGCTTATGGGTTTCACATTAGTTGCAAGATACTCCTTCGCGGGGGAAAACACACAAACTGCACAAAATGCTGGTGCAGCCAAGAAAACGCTGGACTCCAGAATCAAATCTAGCAGAAGACTTGGTTAGATCCTCGAAATCCAACCGAAGCGTGTCATCATCTGGGTCTTCAAACACACTGGTCATCCATTCCGCCAAGGGCAAAAGAGCTGTGGCTGTCACCTGAGTGCCTTCTTCAGGACCCATTTGCATGATTTCCTGGTTGGTGGTTTCAACCCCTCTGAAAAATAATAGTCAGTTGGGGTTATGAAATTCCCAATATATGGAAAGTCATAAATTCCATGTTCCAAAGCACCAAGCAGTTTCTTTCACGGGAAACATTTGGTTGCCAAGCTCTTCACCGGCATGATGGTAGCAATAAGCCGATGCCACCATCTCTAAAGGATCCCTCACGAAACCTGCCACCAGCAGCTTTTTGCTTCCAGATTTCAAGCGCTCTGCAGATTCAACCTGGTTGGTGGTTGAGCCCTACCCCTCTGAAAAATTACTTTACTTCGTGTGATCCCCACCATGACATTTATACATTTTGTTACTGGCAAATCTTCTGGCATTCTATCTGACATTTTATTTGGCATTCTATCTGGCATACCTTCTGGCATATCTTCTGGCATTCTATCTGGCATATCTTCTGGCATTCTACCTGGCATATCTTCTGGCATATGTTCTGGCATATGTTCTGGCATATCTTCTGGCATTATCTGGCATTCTGTCTGGCATATCTTCTGGCATATTATCTGGCAAATCTTCTGGCATCCTATCTGGCAAACATTCTGGCACTTTATCTGGCATACCTTCTGACATTCTATCTGGCATAGCTTCTGACATTTTTTCTGGCATTCTATCTGGCATACCTTCTGGCATTCTATCTGGCATATCTTCTGACATTCTTTCTGGCATTCTATCTGGCATATCTTCTGACATTCTATCTGACATCTTTTCTGACATTCTTCCCGTTGAGGTCCGGCAGTGCACTGCGATCTGGAAGTCACGGTTGAGGTCCGGCAGTGCCCGCTGGGATCTGGAGCTCGCGGTGGAGGTCCGGCTGTGCCCACTGCGACCTGGAAGTCGCGGTTGAGGTCCGGCAGTGCCCGCTGCGATCTGCAACTCGCGGTTGAGGTCCGGCAGTGCCCGCTGGGATCTGGAGCTCGCGGTGGAGGTCCGGCTGTGCCCACTGCGATCTGGACTGCGAGGAGGAGGCGGCGGGTGAGGAGGCGGAGGAGGCGGAGGAGGCGGAGGAGGCGGAGGAGGAGAAGAGCTCTGTTAAAATCTAGCAACCCTCACCTGGCAGGTGGGGAATATGAAAGGCAATGGGGCTGGGATTATCCCATATAATTATTATGGAAAAATACAAAATGTTCCAAACCACCAACCAGCAACAGAGGCATTGAAGGCGTCAGTGTAGACCAAAAAGGGTGCTTCCATGTTGTGGCAAAGATGCAAGAAGCTGTCGCTCCCGGAGCTGTAACACGGATACTCAACATGACCAAAAACTTCCTTTGGAGCGCCAAGAATCTCAAGAATGGTCCTGGTCAAGCTGTCTGATAGGAATGCGCCAGCTTTGTGATAATTTGCAATTATGTAGTTGTTCACTTCCCAGGGTCTTGGCTTTCGTCCGCCTGGAACCACAGCTAGTGCTTGCCGCTGCACCATTGAGACACATGAGATCTCTGAGCTGATTGAGCTGTGCGTAGGTACACAGAATATGAAAATACAGCACCAAATGATTCGCATGGCATTTCTAGCCAAAGGCAGCTGTTTCTCGAGTAGGGTTTCTCGAGCCCTGTCGGCGATCAGATGCAATCCCTTCGCTTTCTCAAGCGACAACTGAGCAACTGGATACTCCGAACATTGTTACATAAGGCTCCACATGCTAAACAGTGACCTTTCTCAAATCATTTGATCAGTTACTCAGGAAAAGGCAAGAAATTAGATCCTTGGACCAAGAACTCTTTTGAACAGTGTTCAAAATGCTCTATCGTCCCTTTATACTGGCTGGTCAAACACGGATTTTCCAGTTGGATTGAGAATCCCATGAACAAATTGGATCGTATATCCCCATATAATCATCAATCAACACAGGATGGTGCCCCCTAGTTATGTGAACGTTGGTTGTTGGTTTATAAACCCCATGAATACTATATAGTGCGTTATAAGTTATATATATATATCTACCAAAGGATCCATGGTGCTGGTATATATGCTAACATGACTGGGGTATATAAATTTGGGATCCATGGCACACCATATATAGCAGTACCGTTAGGATCCGTCATGGGTATATAATATATATCTATCTATCTACCATAAACCATCGTGAATTCAGCCACAGCGATATCTCTGAAGCCCATCCTGCAGGGATAATCAACACAGCCATTGATTAACCACTGAAGTCTTTCTTCATCTCAGTGGCATAAGAAACAGAATTCTGGCTGTAAAAATGAGTTATAACATGTTATAACTGGTTATTTCTATGGGGTGAAAAACAGTTATACACTCTATTTCAATGGGCTTAGTTCAGTACAAACATAACGGGTATAACTCGGGCCATTGGCATCGCACTGAGCTTCGCACAAGGCCACAGGAACATACTCCCGCAGGACCTGGATCCGACGATCCGACAAAAACGGAAAAGGCACCGATCGACAACTGATGAAAGATTGATAGACATTTTATAGGCTTTATAGGGGTATGATTGGGATATACAGGGTTATGATATGTTATAATGTTCATGATTAGCTGATTGAGATTTATTATAAACTAACCTGGTTGGTGCAATAACCATCTTGAAAAATATGGAAGTCAATGGGAAGGATGACATCCCATATATGAAATGGAAAACAAAATTCATGTTTGAAACCACCAACCAGGATAATTAATTCATAGGGAGGTTTCCCTATGCCATATACTTTCAGAGGATGCCATACGTACTTTCTGAGAAATGATCCAAGTACTTATCTGGATCCAAGTACTTTCCAAGGTACCGAATTGTACATTCTCAGGAAGTGTTTGGATCCAGAGTGTTTTACTTACGGCTTACCACAGTATTCTTAGTTTGGTTGGTAGTTGAGCCCTACCCCTTTGAAAACTATGAGTTCGTCAGTTGGGATGATGACATTCCCAATATATGAAAAATCATAAAATTCCATGGCTCCAAACCACCAACCATTAATTTTCACTAGTTGGTTGATAGGTTTCCACTATGTTCATAATCCGCAATAAAGAAAAGGTAGAACTTACTCTGTACAAAAAAACACCACCCAGTTATGGATTTCTCTGAAACTGCATCAGCACCCAAATTGCAATGGATTACCATCTGGTTATTTAACATAGCCATGGAAAGATCCACCCATTTTTAATAGGTAAACCATCTATTTCTATGGGCCATCTATACCATGGCTATGTTAGTCATAACCAGAGGGTATCCCAATCTCTGGCTGGAAATCGGAGCAGTTCTTGGTGCGCTCATGGTGAACAATCCAAGGCTTCCAAGGTCAAAATCAGCTTCAAAGGACACCAAATGGCAACTAATTCCATTCTATAATCACCGTTAATCATCACTAATCACCATTACTAGCCATTAGTATTAATCATGAACCACCATTCATCATCATTCACCATGAATAATGGCTATTGGTCACCATGAATTACTATGATTTTCACTAGTGATAAATACCTGCCAATCTATTCATGGTCATCACTACCAAACGTGGAGCTCATCACACTAAATATCATCCTCATCCGTCCCCAAAATCGAGCCCCACATCTGTCTGGAACAGAACATCTTCACGTCCGACCCGGCATGACCTGAGGAAGGAACGCGGAAGGAGTTCCAAGCAAAAACAGAACGGCGATATTACCGAGATCGAAGATTCAACAGCAATTTGTTCCCAAATTTGATCAGCCCAAAATTGCTTACTGGTGCGTTTTACGTAGGGTTGCTGGATGGGTTGCTCGGGGTGGGATGATGACATTACTAGTGATGACTGGGATCATTCATTCCCGAAAATTCCCTGCGTTCAGCACCAGTAAGATTGGGATGAAAATGAAACCACATAAAACCGAGCATGGAAAGTTGTGGATCAACAGATTCGTCAGAAACTCTGCTGCGAAGCCAAGCCCCGATATCCAACTGTCTCCAATTCACGGCAGCTTGAAATTCCCAATCATATGTGATAATCAATTAATTTTTCGTTCTTTGATTGGGAGACTTTTTCTTTGTAACCAATCATATGTGAAATTCCCAATCTGATAACCTCACACACTCGACTCAAGAGCTGACATTGATCAAGAAACAAATCGGGATGCACGGCTGACCGTAGATAAATATCTTGCAAAAGACTGCCAACCTAGCAAGAGAAAAGGTAAATGTTCCATCAAAAGTCGCCACAGGATAAACCAACGACCACCAAGCTACCATTAACCTGAATCACCTTGGATTTGTTGATTCGGGGTCCCAAGAAAAGTTGATTTCTCTTCGGGGAAAAAACAAATCATCGACTCAAATCCAAGTTTACAAGAATCTATGGAACACTGCAACAGCGACACAATATCATACAAGGTGGTGCCCCCCAGTCAAAGTTGGTTTATAAACCACATGAATACTAGTTCGTTATAGTTCGTTATTTGCGCAGCATAAACCATAGTGAAATTGGAGTTATGTTCATCAACATTAGCTAACGAACTCGGGCACCATCTTGTATAGATAGTTGAATATGAGTTCTAATTTCAGAGTTACATTGAGCATCATTGGCGCGAAGAAACTTTCAAATGGCAGGTCATATATTTATGGATTGTATATAATCTGGTTGGTGGTATACCTACCCCTCTAAAAAATATGAGGTCGTCAGTTGGGATTATTATTCACAAAATATGGAAACATAAAATCCATGTTCCAAACCACCAGCCAGTAATGCTTAACGAATGGATTTAGTGCTATATTCAGACAAAGCCATATCAATGTGGTTAAAACACAGAAATAAACTTAAACCATCCCATTTTTCATCAATTCAATCCCATAAATATATATATATATATAAATCATAATTAACATGGATAAACATGGTAACCTTGGGGATGGTGGATCCTTTTCTTTTACCCACATGAAAGTTAACCCAACCAACCACCAAGCTTGGGTTCCCCGGCGCCGCCGCCCCGAGCTGTTCCAAGGTCTTCTGCGTTCGCAAGTGCGACAAATGCGCGGAGCTGCGAAACCTTGGAGTTTGGGATCAGTCAAGGAGTTGACACTGAACAGATCAGTTGGATCATTTTTTTCAGATGTTGAGATGATGTTTGGATAGATTTTGAGATGATGTTTGGATGATTCTTGGATAATGTTTGGATAATTCGGAGTTTTTCCTGTCAGTTTTGCGCCACATTGAATGGTACCATGCAGTAATAAGTGTCTTCTTTCATTTTAAATGAACTTCCCTGAGAGCTTACAAAGTTTAAAGTCGTCAACGACCATCAGCATCAAATATTGCATATGGCGCTAGCCTCAATTAGCGTCAGAGCAAAGATTCCTGTGGTTAGGGGTGGTTTGCACGCCACTTGAGGATTGCACAAAAACATTGTGGCGATGTTTCCGGCTTCAGTTTTAGGACTTGAGGGTTTTAGGCGTTTGATGGCGTTTGGGTTTGATGGTATCATTTGTGAGTTTGGATCCTCAGTTCAGGGATTCCCCAGCGGAGCTTGCGGGTCTCACGGTGCTCGGTGTCCACACGCAAGAAGCTCCAACATGTGGGGCAGACAGGCCCGCTCTTTGCCAATGAATCTGCTGCCTGACGATGGGTGGTGTTTCCCAGGGTTGAGATGTCTCTGGTTGAAATAGATGTATCCATTATTATCTATTGTATAACTGGGTGAACAACCATGGTTTTTACCAACTATTTCTGTTCTTGGATGTATCTCCCGCTCAGCCATCCCTTAATAACCTACTTGATAAGCATGGTTGCTACACTTGGATGATTCTGGAAGAAAGGTGGGAATGTTTCGAAAGTGGGTGATGCATTCCCTATAGCTGGGATATTTTGCTACGGGTACTCGGGGGTGTAGGATGTTGTAGGGGATAATTCTGTATAGGGGATACCATCGCACACTGAAGGATTTCCGTATGAAACAAATCTTGCTGTCAGAGGATGTTGCTCCCTACTTTATCTTAACTTGTGCACTTTGACTGGATGATCATGACTCACATGCTGAACTACTTACTACCCTCTGGTTTTTTAACATAGCCATGGTATAGATGGCCCATAGAAATAGATGGTTTACCTATTAAAAATGGGTGGATCTTTCTATGGCAAACTGTTAGTCATAACCAGATGGTAATTCCAAAGTTATCAAAGGATTCACAGAGCCCAGAGTACCCGATAAATTTTCACGTTCCATTTCCATCGTCTTGAAATCGTCTTAAGAGACACAAAAAAATCTACGATACGTCTAGGCATTTTGGGGACAACGAACAAAAATGTGGGTGCAATTTGAGTCGATGGAGTATGGCTGCCATGGCTGCCATGGGTACCCTTTGGCCTGCCACGTCGGCAGGTGAATCTCTGTCATCTTATGGAAGCCATACCCTCTGGTAATGACTAACATAGCTGTTGAACATTGCCATAGAAATAGTTGATTTACATATTTACCTAGTAAAAATGGTGATTTTCCAGTTCGTTACGTAAACGTTTACCAGGCCGGGTACTTTTCAGAAATGCAGTGTTGTTGTGCCACACGGGGATGAA